TTTATCATTAAGAAGGTTTTGATTTTTTGAGAGCCAAATGGATTAAGGAGAATCGTGCTATTCTTTGGGTTGTGCGTCACCCCTTAAGAGATGATAAGGAGATTTTGCTGTACTAAGAACCAAATTAAATGTCAGATTAAGAGGGAGTGATGGGACTAGGGATTATAGTGTGTTTAAAAACAGGAAGAATTAGGAATAAATGCAAGTGCCATAGTAGCTTTGGGAATTTAAAGTGAGCTTGAATTTATGTCAATCTAGCCTTTTGGTGACCCATATCTTGCAAACAAAATGTTTAAAGTAAGCGCTTCTGAAAGCCCTTTAAAATGAGAATGTAACATTTCTTCACATAAGATATTTCATGAACATCTTGAATTGCTTAAATTTACTCTTCAGTTCCCTCATTAATATTTAAAATTTATGCCCTCTGCATTCATGACTGTCCATTCAGTCATGCTGTCTGAGCACCTTTAACCTTGGAGTTTGTGATAAGTCAGAGAAGGTGTATGCTATGCATCCGTAATTTTTCTCTACCTATAGCTCCACTAATATGAGTAAAAAATTATTCACTGATGTCTCCATCAACATATATTGAAAAACAAGCTGAATAGTCTTAAACATCTTTCTAAATAATGTACTTGCTCCTCCATATTTATCAACTGGCATACTGTAGTGGTGATCATGAACATTCCTCTCAACTATACCTCTAAGAAAGGGGACTTTGATATGAGAATCTAATCAGTGTGGTCAATCCTTATCTGACGATTATAAACCTTCTCTGTAAAGTTCACCAGCAACCTGTTAATGTGTTTTCTGTTTTTATAATTATGTTCTTGTAATGCATGGGTGAACTTTCTGAAGCATATTGAGTTGATGGCATGCTTAAGGCTAGGGAAATTTGAGGAGGAAGGAGAGAAACATTTGATAGGGTAAGTCCTTAATTTGATACTGTGGGTTTAGGTTCCCCTTTCTCCCCCACTTTTCACAAGTGTGTGATTATCTAGAAATGAGTGCCTGGATGTGGTGGAAAGCATCACATTTAATCCTCTCGAATTACTTGTTGCAGGACAAACTCTCAATTTAATATTGCTCCACTGAACCAATATTTTTAAAATCAAATATCAGCCATTTGGAAAGACAGAATTGGTTGCTATTAAAATATATATATTCACACACACACACATAATCAAAGAATACACCTTGGCATTTCAGTAGTGTCAAGAGATAGTTTTCCTTAAAATTCTTTTATTCTAATGATACTCTTAAACAGAACTCCATAATGATGGAAAAATATTATGTATTTCCCATTCATAAATTTTTAAATGTGCTCACTGCCTAGACTTATATTGAATGGTCTTAGCCTGTTGTAGCAGTTGCCACAGTGAATCCCTAAAAACACATAAAAATACGATGACATAAAATCTAACCCTATTAGTAGGGTCAAAAGCAAAGGAGAAAGACTTTTGTTTCCAAGGCAGAAATTGGACATGATGCCTTTTAAAAATGAAGTGTCATAGTGTAGATCATAAATAGTGTAGGATTGCCTGGCATTGAGACACATTGCAGAGAGACTCAGATAACTTTGGCAGATAAAAATGTTGTAGAGTTGATGAAGTAACAAATTCCTGATTCTTTTTTTGTTTGTTTATTTTATGCTTTCCTGGAAACTACAGGCATTTCAGTAGGACTATGGAGGAGCTAGTCCATGATCTGGTCTCGGCGCTGGAAGAAAGCTCAGAGCAAGCTAGAGGAGGTTTTGCAGATACTGGAGATCATTCTCGAAGCGTGTCTTGTCTTCTGAAGCGACAGGCGAGGAAAAGGAGGGGACGAAAGAGACGCTCGTTTTCCACCCACCACCCCTGGGAGACTGGTCACTGTTTAAGTGAAGGTTCTGATTCCAGTTTGGAAGAATCAAGCAAAGACTACAGGGAGAGTCATGCTAATAAGAAAGACCACAGTGACTCTGATGACCAGTTGTTGGTTGCTAAACGTCGACCTTCCTCAAATTTAAATAACATTAGGGGCAAAAGACCTCTGTGGCATGAACCAGATTTGGCTGTTGATAGTTTAGGAAACAGAACTTTGCGCAGAAGAAGAAAAGTGAAGCGAATGGCAGTAGACCTTCCGTCAGAAGTCTCTAATGCACTGACAATAACTCAACAACAGGATAGCAGTAGAGATCAAGAAATGGACAATGACAATAAATCATACCAACATCAAGAGTTTTCCAAGAGCAAAGTGAAAAAAAGGAAAGTAGCTGCAGCTCGACAAGGACCAGAAATCTTGGATGAAGGAGTAGTTATAGAAAATGAAGAAGTGAACCAAGCAAATAAGGACAAAATGGAGTATGAGGAGCAAAAGGGCTCAGATGAAAACATGAGTGACAGGTTATTCTTTCTCTTACTTCTTATGGAATCTTTGGATCATACTTGTTTGCATATATTACTGTTTTTACTGCAGATGTTGGCAACCTTTGGAATTCTTTCTAATTTCAGAGTTAAAATGAAAGCACCAATTGTACTTATTTTATTAAGTTACTCTTTTTTTGTTTGTTGGTTTTGTTTTTTTGACCTAAGTGTACTTTTTTGACGTTTACCATGTTGAGTTGATCAGGTTTAGGTATTCAGATATAGAGTCAAGTGACAGGGGAATAACTAAAGACAGTTTCTTGAAAGAATGTATTTTAATTGTTTCAATATTAAGAATGTCAAGATAGAATACACAAATGATTAAAATGTTGTGTTTTTGTTAATTTCAACTGGTGACAGTTCTCAGACTTTCATAGCAGAAAACAAAAATTTTTTAAGTTTCTGAACATTGGTGCTTTGATTATTATTCCTGTTTGTCAGAAAAGTTGTCAGTGTTTAGTTTCACCATTTAGACAATATGTTCTTATGTGTCAATGGCATAAAAAGTTTGCAGACTGCCAAGGATATACATCACTTAGGAAATGTAAAAACCAATTTACAGTTCAGAAACACCTGAGCTTGCCATTAGAAAAATGGGGGAGTGATGACCCTTTGGCAGCACACCTCATCCATCCATTGCAGACAGCAGGCATGCTACAATAGTGATTGTTTCCAAAGTGCTATTTTGACAACACAGTAAGGTGTAAGTCATTTTTCCACCATACCCAAGGGATCTTACCTGCAGGGTCTGGTAAGCCTCATTATGTTTATCCTTTGTGTCTGATTCTGAATGCAGAACTGTCAGCAGGCAAGACTTGTATTAAAACAAATAATTCTGCTCAGTGGCTTGACAACCGCGGTGTTCTTGTTTCCCATAGGCATTTTATCCATACTGTTCTCTCTTGCTTATTGTATAAGTGGCATTTAATGTTGGGATAGCACCTAGGGGTTTTGGTTAAAACATGCAGCTCAGCTACTGTAATGACAGCAGTAGTGGTAAGTGATTAACAACTTACTGTTTGAAAACTTCTTAAAAAATTTAGAAGTCTTTTATTACACAATGGTTTTGTCCCTCAGCTGGTGAAGATAACCTGTTGAAAAAGCCGTGTGAATCCTGAGTTTTATAGATTGTACCCAATGTCTTCATAGTGGTATTAGAGCAGAAGCAGTACTAGGGCATCCGGTTTAACTTCAGACACCTCACTTAGACAAGTTAGGAGGGTGTACTGTCAGGGAACTTTTAGCAGACTTGGCTTTTCAGTACTGCAAATCTCTGTTGCCAGGTTTGGTGCCTAAAGATAGGTAGTTTGAAAATTTCTTTGAAGAAACCATTTCAGTCAGATGTATATTTTTGTATTATTTTATTTCAATTTTTAATGATTTGCTGTTAAGTCACAAGAGTAACAGTTCTCAAACTCAAAAATTCTATAAGTAACTTCTGAGTGGATGGAGACATGACCAAAATGAAAATCTATTAGACTCCAACAATGTGCTGCTTTCAAGTCAGCTGGGCCATCTTTTTTCTTCTACATTAGGGAAACATTATTGATTTTAAAAATCTACTCTTCTCTTTGAAATGCTTAATGTTTTGTTAAACCTAATGTTTTCATTTTGCAAATTGTACTTCAAAAATTATCCGTAGCCCCAAGAAATGGCCTTTGGAACCATCTCATCTTCATGGTGTTTTCTGCTTGTGAACATGTTTGAATGATGATCCATCATTCTGGAAAACTTCTTGCGATGGTAGTCTGTTTCAAAAGCTTTGGGAATCATCTGATTTAAGCATTTAGTATACATACTGTTTCTGAACAATTTATATCTGAATCATTTTAATTTTGTTTTTAAATTCGCTGTGCCTACATACAACACTGCCTGTATTATTTGCTGGTATAATTTAACTGGAAGAATCAGAAACAACTATCAAATTCTCTTGTTTTAAGACTGTTTTATAAGTAAAGGCTGAGATTTTAAAGAGAATAGGTGTCTTCTAAGACTGTGCAAGATATGGAGATAAAACAAATTGCCTTGGGATAAGGCTCATTTTTTCAGCAGTCATTACTGGGGAGAGGGAAATGCAAAGTAAAAAAAAAAAAAAATTACAAAATAAACAACCTATGTTTATATGCATACAGTTTAACATATACATGCCAAAATTAAGATTACTGTTTTTAAAGTAATCCTAACGGCTATTTCCTGAAATTGGAGTTAAATACTATGAACCTAAACTGACGAGGAGAAAATTTTAGTGTATCCTTACAATGTAACATTGTTGTTTTTAAAATAAAGTAGTATATATTTGAAGTGCAGACTGAAAAGTTTATGGAGCAAGTGACATTTCTTTGGAGTATTATCGCTGCCACACAACAGTAACATTAAGTGCAGGATTCTGTAGTAGAAAGAGGAATCTTCAAGGTACTAATATGTCAGCATATAAATGATCCCAAAGATTAATTTGTGAGGCTTCTTTTGAGCCCTAGAACTAGGAGACTTTTGTGATTGTAGCCTAGTCATCGCTTGCACTTAATTCCTTATCCGCTTTCAGCCAAATTTGACAGCACATGGAGTTCTGAATGAGAAATCTAAATTGCCCCCTTTGAGAGAGACTCGGCAGCTTGACCCTCACTGTGCAGTGGCTGAGCCATCTTGAGGATTGGATTAATTAGGAAAACATAGGTCACAAGTCCATAGGAAACCGAGGCATAGGGCAATTTGCTTTGAGGGGTGACTAATACTAAAAATTAGGTCCTCTTTGTTTTCATGGGTGTATAAGTAAAGCTGTGAAAGCCAGATTTCTGGCAGTTTTGAGGGGAGCAGGAAAGTGTTTCCTTCAGGCTTCACTTACATGCCTTTTCTTACAGAATCTTTTTTTATTCCTGGAAATCTTTCTGGAAGAGGTATCTTTGTTATTTTCTTTGCTTTGTAGCAATCTAAAGTGCAAGTTGCATTAAAACTGAATATAACTTCCACCATAATACCTCTCGTGTTTACGTAGCAATAAATTAATTCCAGAGGCCTTGTGTTAATTTCTAACTGGCAGTCCTTTAGCTGAATAATCTCGGCCGTAATTCCTGCCCTGTTTGAGTGTGACTGAGCAAAGTGAACTCTGGCAGCCATAAATATGCCAGAGTTGTCATTTTAGATTTAGATAAAACAAACAAACAAAAAAAAACCCTGTTCATTTAGTGTATTTCAAAAAACTTGCAGGGTTTATGACTTCATGAACTGCCTACTCCCACAGTAAGAATTATGTGTATGTTCACAAGGTCTTTTCCCCTTTTTTTTTTTTTTTTTTTTTTTTCCAGAGAAATTTAAGGGAAAGAAAGTTGGAATTCGTTTCTTAACTCTTTTGTGTTTTTGAAGGAAAAAAAGGCACCTCTAATTACAATAAATGTAAAGGAAGAATCTATGAAAAGGAGATTTTATTTATTTATTTATTTTAAAAAGGAAGATGTATCCATATAAAAGAGCACTCTGAAGTCTAAGGACACTAATGGCACCTCTGCTGTAACCAAAGTGAGGATAGGATGTTTTCTACAAAGAAGGTGCTAGGATTTGCCTAGCTTTACAGCTTTAGGAGGTTCAAATGTTGCTCACTCGCTTTAAATATGGACCTGTTTTCACAGTTCCATGCTTGTCATGTTTCTTCTTAGGGCAGTTATCCAAGTTAAGTTCTTAAGTCTGATTTTGTTGTATTATGGGTAAGAGATGTAAGTACTGGTGTACGTACTGCTTATGCAGTAAGAATACATAGAAGATACAGTAGAAGATACAGTAAAGGTTAAGAAAACTTATTCTTCAAATGTAGAGCTCTGTATGCATTAAATGGATAGCTGCAGATAATGGCTTTGTGGATCCTGAAGCCATATTTGGCTTCAAATTCTGTTGGAATGCTTCCAAAATGAAGATGTTAAAAACAACTATATTGTTTCAATTAAACAAGGTTAACTTTACACAATTTATTCTAGAAGATTGAAAATTATTGAGGTTTGCTTCTGTGATTTATATTCAGAAAGAAATAACTTTTATAGTGTATGATATTTAGAACCAAAAATAGAAGTAATCTAAATATGTCAAGGGAGCAATTAAAAGTACGATATCAAGTCAGTTGAATTCAAGCATAGGACTGCATGTATGTTATAGTTTAAGCAAAAACAGAAAGGCAAAACATATCTCAATTTCTTTTCACATAGCTCATATGCAACATTGAGAGTAGCCACTGAACTCTTATCTTTTAGTCGAATTTGTTAGGTCAGCTGAGGAGAATTTCAGATTCTTCTGCAATATAAGTATAGCATGATTAAATTTTGGTGATATAATACTTCCTGAATAGAGGTACTTATTAAAAAAAAAAAAAAAACTTTTTTAAATACAGAAAATCCTTTAATTGCCAGTGGCCCAGTGGTTCAAGAGATTGTGGTCTATGTTATTAAAAAAATAAGAGACTATTTTAGAATTTAGAAGCAAGTGGAGTATTGTAATAATATGTATTCTTTGTAATAATATTTAGATGTATAATAACAAAGAAGCGTGTTTCCAATTGCACTCTTCAAATTTAGAAAAATATGTGCATATTATATTCACATATTCTAATTTTAAGGCCCTGAAAGAAGTTGCTTCTTTTTGTTGGTGTTATGATCTTATTATCATACTCATTTTCTTCAGGATGTTCTTTACTTTCATTTAATGGGCTACAATTGTTGTAAACTTTTTTTTCTTTCTTGACAAATAATATGTGGTGAATCATAAAGTACTGTATTTTTGAGAATATTTGCCAATAATGTTTACAAAGGTAATTCTGTCTTAAGACTTATATTTTACATGCTGAAAGCTTAGACTGCTTTTGATTGAGACTTTTTCTATTTTTATTGAGCAATGATGTGCCATGATCAAGCTGAATTGCACAGCATAAGAAAGGCTGGTGAGCATTAGATGGAAGCAGATAATAAAAGACATCAATTGTGTCAGCACCTCATTGGAGTCGCATCTGGCTTAGTGTCAGGGTACCATTAGATTCCTGTGGTTTTATGTGCCAAAAATAATATGCTTTATAGTTAATGGAACTAGGATATTTGCTTTTTGATTAAAAAAAATCATTTTCTTTCAGGTCTTTGTTGGACTTAAATTCTGTGTGAGCACAGCCTTGTCTCCTTAAAATTTTATGACCAAAAGATCAATTGTTCTTTTGATCTGTTTCTTTCTTTCTCTTATTACAGTGAATCCAGCAGTCTGAGCAGCAGCGATGCGGGTTTGTTTACCAATGATGAGGGAAGACAAGGTATTGAAAAAATCTTTCCCTTTTCCACCCCTCAAACCACATCAGTTGAAATTCTGTAAGCGTTACAAGTTATTACATAGGTTGATTATCTTAAATCAGTTGCTGTTACAATTTTGAGGAGTTGAAGTATAGCTCTCTTTCAGGATTTTTGAAATGCTATGGCAGGGTATTCTGATCCTGTAAATGTTATAAATAAGTATACTTATATACTTACAAGGGCATATATACTACTTATGTTCATAATGTAAGTAAATTTAATGTCCAAAGGATTGTAGATAGTTCTGCTGTATTACGAATTTTGTTTTCCAAGCTAGCTTTTGGCTAAGTTTTATTTTGTTAGTTGCTTCAGATTTTTCACAAGACAACATCACAGTAGGACTGCCTTATCAAGCTAATTCTGACTGAATTTTGGGGATTCTTTGCTTTTTGAATTAATGTAGCAGTATTGTATAGTTTGTTTTCATTCCGAGGTACTCCCTGAACAAGTACTTTTTGTAGCAGTCTGGGATTGAGATTTGAAGATACCTGCTATTTAGAGAGTTTCCTCTCTGAAAGATCTCTCCCCATTACACTTGAAAAATGTGATTTGCCTACAAATTCTACAGTAAAGTGCAACACATTCAAAACTTTCCTTTCATATGCGTAATGTTCTAACATACAAGGAATGTTGAAACCTACATAGAGGACACTTTCTTCCCAAAGAGTGGCAGTATTTGTTAAGCAAATATAGACCAAAACTAGTGCTTGGCTAATAAAATCAATTTCTTTCTCCAATTACTCTTTGGAGACGTTTTTTGTTTGTTTGTTTTTTAAATCATAATTGACTAAATGGTTGTTTATCCTTAAGAACTTCTGTAGAAGTAATGACAGAAAAAGTCTTTTTCATTTAATGGAAAAAAATATAGCAGAAAAAAAGGCCAGACCACAAACCTGTTTTTACTTGCTTGCAAATTGCCTTTGCACAGCATTTATGGAACGTCTTGCACTTTTATACGTGTTAATCCAGTCTAGTCGAGGCCAGTATCTAGTGGTGTACTCGGGGCTCAATATGGTGTCCAGTACTGCTCAGTTTGTTTGGATCATTTACCTAAAATTTAGCTAATGAGTAATTTAACTTCTATGTCAGAGCTATTTCGAGTTCTGTTTGTGTGATTCCTGTACAAGGTCATGCCAAATCACTACTTTTCTTTATAAAATACTCCATACTGAAGGGACAGACAGTCTCTAAAACTGTGATGTAAGAAAAACTTGAATCTTGAGTTTGACTTGGAGGCAACAAGTGAATATGAATGAAATATTTGTCCTATAAATCAAAACAAGAAATTCTCGTTAGTATTCAGGTATTTTGCAGTTGTAGAGATGCAGTGCTGGCAGATACTCAGCCTTTCAGTGCTTGAAGAGTCTTTATAATGCTTGTATTTTCCCATTATGGGGCTGAGTGCTGCTTTTTGTTATAGAAAATTGTCTAATAAATGTTGTATTTGTCTCTTGTTTAGTCCTGCCTACTTAAAAATTTAAACACCGTGTACAGAAATAATTTATATGCAGAAATAGTGAAGCATGGTTTAGATACTTTCAAGTAGAATTAAAATATGCAAGACATCCTTTGGAATGTGATTGTAATGTTCGAAAGGATGTTTGCCGTGTATTATGAGGATGTTTTTGATCAACTGTCAAATACTGGTTTGTATAAAAGAACATAATCTAAAAGGAGGAGACCTATTTTCTATTGTTCGTGTATTTATATCAGTTAGGCTTAAGATTAAACTTCCAGTCATGTCTTGCATTTTACTTTGACTACTAATATTTAAATATTAGATCTATAAATATCATTAATAAAAATAACAAGCTTTGTAGTATAATGTAGTATGATTCTCAATCAAATGGCACTGTCAGTTTTCATTTAAAATCAACTTTTTCAAAACTTATTTCTAAATGAACTTAATCAGATTAATTTCGTTTAGTCACATCTGTTCATGATTGTTTTGCCCTTTTTCATGATTTGTATGGCTAGTAATTAAGCTAATTATATACCATTATCAGCTGCAAAGAACTAGTTTCACAGTTTTATACCTTTTAATTCCCTACAGGAGATTAAGACTTGTTTTTTGTTAATATGGAAAGTGCAGTTACTTAAATGGATTTTCTGGCAGTTATCACCAAAGGATTAACTAGTTTATTATTGTTTTTCCACTATTCTAAATTGGTTTTAGAACATTACATTTTGTGTGTTTTCATTGATGACAATGCTTGCAATGGTTCTGAGAAACATTTTTCCAAATAGCAATGCTATATACAATGCTCTATATTGTTTTACTTCTATAAAGCAAAAGAAATTGTCTTGCCAGATTGCTCATTGAAAGTAACATCTGATTTTTTTCCTCTTATCCTCTCTATTCCTCCTCCCTTTGGGGGGCCTTGGGAGGATGCTGTCCTTATACAGGTGACGATGAGCAAAGTGACTGGTTTCATGAAAATGAATCTGGCGGAGCATGCGGAATTACAGGGGTCATTCCTTGGTGGGAACAGGAGGACTCTACAGAACTGGAGAGAGAAATACCTGATCCAGTCTTTGAAAGTATCTTAACTGGTACTTTCCCTCTTATGTCCCATTCTGGGAGAAGAGGTGGGTAACAATGAAATACAACTGTAGAATCACTTGGGCTTGGTAGAAAACTGTCTGTGGATTGTATAGAATATGTAAAATGTTGACAAAATCTGGGACATAGCAGTTTTCTTACTCCTAAGCTACTTTATTTTTAAGACACCATTAAATGGCAATTAGAAAACTGTTGATGGTTAGAAAAATTATGAGGTATAAAAGTTGCTCACTGTCATAGACTAATTTCATTTGTTGTCACAGTGTTTGCACTGAGAATTATTGTATTATTTAAAGGGAGTCTTTATATTCCTTTTTTTTGCTAGCTTCTGTGGTAATTTTAGAATGTAGTGATGTGGTATTAGGAATGTATTTGAGAACACTGGGCTTTGGGTGGATTTATTTTGTTCGTTTTTTTTTTTTTCTTTTTTTTTTTTTTTCTTTGTGTGTCTCTCAAATGTTTCTGGCAACTACATATTCAGTCTATCCAATGGTAAGTTGTTCCAGCTCTTGATGGCCTTCACAGCTAGGAACCTACTCTCATTTCAAGGCTGAAGTTGTCAGACCTGAGCTTGCTGCCAAAGCCTTCCATCTGCCACAAGGACCTCCTTTCACATCTAGAAAGAGTTTTCTCTCTCTCTCTCTCTCTTTTTTTTTTTTTTTTTGTGTGTGTGTGTGTGTGTGTGTGAGCACTAATATGCTCACTCTGAACACTGAATGCATTGAATTCTTTTGTGAGGCTTATTTTCCATGTGTTTGGGATCATTTCAATGTTTCAGTGAACCTCTGCTTGTTCACCAGATTTAAAACTTCTTTAGTACTAGCACTAGAAATTTTAAAGTGATCCAAAATCATTCTCCTGTATCAAAATGGTATGCTCAGCTTATGCAGCAAACTGCCAAGAACTAGAACTGCAGCAAGAAAGTGTATAGAAAGTGTTTTTTCTCATGGTAACTTAGTCTTTCCCAGAGTTTTCCCATTCTGTATTCTTTATTTCTGTAGGTACTGTGTTTGGCTATATATATGTGTCTGTGTGTGTGTATAAATTTGTGCATGTATGTATTTTTAAATTGAAGTCAGTGGCATAGATCAATAAATTGCTATGTACTGGTATAGGAAATACTCTTGAATCAATTTCCACTTTTTATTTGTAGGTTTCCAGAGCAGATTTAGTCATCTTCATGGAGTTCCAGCAAGAAACATCAAAAAGCCTTCAGGAAATCAGACTACATTGGTAGGTGTTTTTATTATTGTGAGCTAATATGAGCTGCTCTTACAACTCAAAAATGTTTATACCTCTTATGGTTCTTTCCTGATGTTGTGGATAAACAATTGAATGGTAAGACTACAATGGAGTGGTAAAACTGCAGTGCCAGTGCTGTTTATGTTGTTTTTTTTCCTTTCTTTTATGTTCTTTCTAAGACTCTGCCATTCTATTTTAATTGAATATTTATATATGCTCACTGAAATCACAAGAGCAGTCTAAGACTATTCCCCACTACTTGCTCTGAGCTATGGTTTCTTTGTTCTTTTATTTAGGAAGATTTTCCGTATTTATCTAATATAAAAGCATATTGTTTCCCCTCTTCGGAAACAAGTTATCAGACCCAAGTTATTCACTTTTATCTAATACGAAAAACATTCTACGATGGTTATATAGTACAATATTGTATTAATCTCTTACCCCCTCTCCGAAGTCCGTTCTGAAAATCTATTCTTATTCTCCTTTGTTTAACCGATTTCTGTTGTGAGAGGAAAAGGGCATATGCAAAAAAGCTGGAAGTAAGGCTTGTGATGCACCTGCCATACACACAGCACATACCTTCAGATGAGCCTGTTCAGAGGCTGACCACAAGTGACAGTTGTTTTTTAGTGTATTTAGCTTTAGGAATAGTCATGTTTATAATGAAGGAAAAAATCCAGCTACACATGATCCAATTGGGATTTTTTCCCCAGCTTATTTTCTAAAATAAAATTCTAATGAATTTTTAAGAGTTTGTTGTAGGCAATATGGAGAAGAGTATGGACTTTTTAAAATAAAATGTGCTCTTTGAAGTGCAATCTATTCCTTTCTTACATGAATACTATTTGGAAGAAGAGGAAAAAGTACGACACTGTCTAGCAATATATAGTAAACATATTCCAGCATGAAAAATACTGCAGGATCAGTGTTCTTTATTGTTTAGGACATTGTTAATTTGCTTAAATAAGGTGCTGGTGGGAAATGAGAGATATTGCGTGTGCAGACAGTAGAAAAGAACTGCTAGAAATTTAACTCATTTTGAAGAGGAAAGGTTTTTAATAGCTGAAGTCTCTGTTTGATAATTGCCATGTGGAGCTGAATAAGATGCTTTAAAACCTTGGCCTATGATCTCTGCTGTTAGTGGTCGTGAATTAGATGAATGCTATCTAGTTCTTGGTTTCCTATCTACCTATTTTTATTTTTGGTTCAGTGCTTGCTTGAGCATATCTGGGATTTGTAGCCCATTTTCTAGGCTTATTGCAATTTCACTCTGGTATTTTATAGGAGCTATTATAACTGATAGGTTAGGTTCATGGCATTGATGATACATGGCTTAGCTACCCTAAAAACTGCCTTTTCCTCTAAATTGTAAAAAGGTGATCAAGTTTCAGCTGATGAAGATATACTGTGAATGCGTATATATAATAATAATAAAAATGTTTATCTTCTGCTACATTGTCTGAATTGTCCTTAGAAGCCCATTTTGCCTTCCAGTGATCATATCTCATATATGGTATATTCCTTTTATGAAAAAAATGCAAGCTGATCTACTAAAGAATGATAATTCAGTTACCTCCAGGTATTTAATACATCATTTACATAGTGTCATGAAACAAGGTTGACATGTGAACACGCCTCCTAAACCGCTATGTTTAGGCAAAAATGCACATGCAGGATGAGTGTAGAGCCCTTGGAATGCAGAGTCCTCTGATCTTCTAACCTTCTTAATGACTATTTATGTTTGTAGGTGCATCTGTCTTTGAAAATTTAGTTATGTAAGTCGGAACACATGTGCTTGCATTACAATCAAGTTATCACTTTTTAAAGGCATTTTTTTAGATACTTCAATGACAAAGAAAGTCTTCTAATACCTGTGACATCTGATAACACAGAACAAGAAGTAATTACTCCTATTAGATGGTAACAGTGAAGAGCAGCAAAAATGCTTTTAGAAAGATTAATATCCTGAGAAATGAACACTGCAGACTCAACTCATTGAGCAGAGTAGCGATGGTGACCTACTTTCATTTTTAACAGCAAGGAGTCTGATGTCTATATCACTGCTTTTACACAGACTTCTAAGGGACACAGGGCAAAAAATGGAGTTTTCTTCCAAGATGCATTTCCTAAGCATTATGTGTTCAATCTAAGGATGTGTACCCAGCCAATGTGATCCTATAGCTATCTCCTTACACACAGATAGAAAACATTTAATGCCCAACTGTGTGTTTTTTTTTTTTTGCTGTCAGAGAACCAACAGGCTAAGGGTATAGTTGTTATTCATATAGCAAGGAAATTCTTAACTTAGGCCACTGTTTCTAAAAGCAACACTAGGCCATCTGTGTGGACCAGTTGGTGGATTTTAATCTGAAGTAGCCACACTTGGTGCTCAGATTGTGTCTAGACTTTGCTCTTGCATTTCACTAGGCTAATAGCTTCGTTTGGACAAACTCTTTAGTGTTTTACTTTTGAGTCACATTTTTTTTATTTAACTTTGTGTGCATTGAATGAGGAATTATAATAATAATACAATTTTTAAAAATATTAAAGAATAACTTTTTTCTAGCTAATGTGAAAGTAGTGATTTAATCTTTTTTTCCTGGACTTTAAATACAATGTTAAAAATGGCATCCCACTGCAGTCAGGTAATTGCCCTCTAGCATTAGTTTCAGAAATGCCAAATGTGCCGTTTGTATTTTTTAATTAACTTTTTAGCTTTGGGGGTGAATGTGGGGAGGATGGGGCCAGGCTCTTCTCTGTGGTGGCCTGTGACAGGATGAGGGGTAATGGGTGTAAGTTGAAACATAGGAAGTTCCATCTCCGTGTGAGGAAGAACTTCTTTCCTGTGAGGGTGACAGAGCCTTGGAACAGGCTGCCCAGAGAGGCTGTGGAGTCTCCTTCTCTGGAGATCTTCAAAACCCACCTGGATGTCACCCTGTGCCATGTGCTCTAGGTGATCCTGCGTGTGCAGGGAGTTGGACTAGGTGATCTTCAAAGGTCCCTTCCAACCTTAACCGTTCTGTGATTCTGTGTGGTTTAAATTATCTTGCTGTTTATTCATAGTGACAAATGCTATGAACTGATAGTCTGAACAGTTTTCCTTGTAATTCACCTTTAATCCAAAACCTCAAGAGATAGCCATCCAAAACTACACTTAAGTTGACTCTTAAACCAGGGCAAATACCATGGTGATAGCTCTCTCATTCTTTCTCAGAATGACTTCTCTCTTATTGTATATATTGAACAGGTTAAATATGGTTCACTTTATGGCTCACTATGTGAATATTCAAAGTAACAATGGCTTGTTAAAATCTTTGGCTTCAACGTATGCACCACTCTTCTTCCTCTGATTATTCCTCTTGTTATCTGCCAGTTATGACAGAGAAATCTCTTTCTGATGTTTGGCCCCGTGGTGTTCTTTTCTAGACGTTTGGAACTTGCTTGCTTTGACTTCTGAAGTCCTTGTTGGTTCTGTGATGGTTATGTTTTAATGCAACTTTAGTGGAAGGAATTTGTATTTAGGCATAATCTTTTGTTTAAAAAAAAAACCTTTCCTCCAAAATACCACCCATTCTCCCAGAAAATTTCTTCTAATAACAGCTTGAAGCAACATCTAGAAGAATTAATAGTAATTTAATATTATCTCATATGCAGTATCAAGTTCTGAGTCATAATTTCCTTGTATTGTTCTTAAAATGTGATTGATTTGATAGAAGAAAGCATTGGGGGATGGGACTGGGGAGTCAAGTCAATCACCTAATTGAAAATAAACAGAAAATCTCATAGACACAGCCTCAGATAGGTCTTCTCAACTGCTGACATAATTTTTTGCTAGCCGTATGCTGAGCCATAACAACTTATTCATGAGTGGTTTTCACGCTCATTGACAGGACTAGTTTTTCCATTCTTTAGGAAACATCTTTTTGCTCACAAGAGAGGAAGTGGAGGAGAATGAGTACTGTCAATTCACACAGAGCAACTTGAATATAAGTAAACTGTTACTTGGATTGCATTCCCTACTATTGTTCCCTGGGAAGCAACTTCTGTAATGGCACTTAAGGTCTCTAATAGAGGTGTATCACCAGTTAGCTTTCCAATAGCTAACACAGTCTAGATTACGCCTGTTGTCATATGAATTTTACTGTTGAGCATCTGCAAGATGGAACTCCAAAATCAATATATTTTCTCTTTTTTTTTCTAGCTCTGTTACAGCTTGATTTTTTTACGTGCTACGGATGGAAAAAAATCTGTTGTTTCCATTTTAGCAAACGATCTGTCAGATCATTACTCTAAAGCAAAGACTGAGACATAATGTTATATAGCTTTGCTTAATTTAGAATGGAAATGAAAATACAAATTACAAATAGTGTGTTTTATATATATGTTTGAATACATGTAGTTTATACACTTTCTAGGTGGAAGCTCTAAGAACAATGAATTAAATTGGGCCTTTAATGCCCTCTCCAAAAATTTATATTGGAGATGCATATATCAGATATGCTCTGGAATGGAAATAGCTTCATGTAATGTTTGTACGATCTTCATATTTTCTATGAACTTAAACAAGTTGTCCTGTTAGTGAATTTCGTATCATATGTCAGGAGGGGGGAAAAAAAAAAAAAAAAAAAAAGAGGACCATCAAGGTTTGCAGCATTTCCAACTACACTTGCATTGGAACAGTTCAAGAAGCTGCTGCCTGCTCCTTGCCTGTTAGTTCCTGTCCCAGTAGTTACAGTTAGTACACAAGTAGCTTCTGGCTTTACTTGGACTTTAAGTGCAGTAAGAAAAAAGGAAGGAAGGCCTGCTGAATCCATGGCAAGTGATCACATGAGCCTTCTCAAGCCTTTACTGGTTGTTCAAAATTTCTTTCATTCTGCCCTCCGTGATTTAATTCAGCTGAATTATAGACTGGCATCTGATCTGTCATGTGTGGGTTTTTTTGTTCTTGTTTTGGATTTTTGTATATAGTTTGGTTTTCCTCTTTTCTATAT